CGGCGGCTCAAGCGGACGCAGATGTGCTGAGAAGACATCTGAGTTGATGATATCGAGGGGGAGAGTTCGTCACGATTAAAGGACACTTATTAACGACCTTTCCTTTTCTCTCCTAACAAAATGCGTTGTGCTGTACGAGCGCCAACGCTTCTCTCCCTCCTCTTCACACTCCTCCATCACACAATAGCATCGCCAATACCCGACCCCATTCCCCAGCTTACTTGTGATACATCTTCTGGGGAGACGGCTTGCGGCACAATTTGCTGTGCGTCAAACCAGAAATGTCTGTTTGAAGGACAATGCGGTGCGGCATCCAACTCGGGATCCGGGTCTAACTCCAATAGTCAAGGATCATGGCAGTTTTTCACCCGTACCTGGACTGAGACTGGTCTAGTTACCAGGACCTCAGTCTGGTCTAGTTTTATCCCCTCCGCAACGGCGGCCGCCAACCCTTCTGCCTCCAAGGCTCCTTCAACAACTTGGAATCCACCCACTCTTACGTCTTCTGTCCGCAATCCTTCTGGATCTGGAGGAGGTGGCTCGAGTGGTGGTTTTATTGTTACCAATAGCAATGGTGGAACTTTCACCCCGCCAACCCGACCAACAGAATCTTTCAATGGCGGTGTTATTGGAGGCGATGCTTCCGGTTCGAAAATCTTGGTCCCAACTGTGACTGGCACAAACACCTACTTGGTCCCTGTTCCCACTGGATCTCTCGGGTTTGGCGGTGTCGTAGGGGGGAATTCTGGTGGCGGTGGCCTTACTGGCGCACAGATTGGTGGAATAGTGGGAGGTGTACTGGGTGCCTTGTTCTTGATCGCTTTGATTCTCCTTTGCTGTTGCCTCAAAAAGGGATTCAGGGGATTCTTCGGCTGGCTCAATTCCTTCGGTGGCCGTCGTCGTCGTGAAGAAGCTATTATCGTCCAGGAAGGCCATGTTCACGAAAGTCACCACCACCATGGCGGTACGGCAGCCGCGGCAGGTACGGGGGCCGGCGCAGGATTCCTTGCCGGAATGTTTGGAAGGCGGCCGGGACAGAAGGTCACGACTACCACCACCCACACCCACGAGCATCACACTCTCCACGGTCATCACGGTTCAGGTGGCGCTGTCGGATCTCACCATTTTGGATCCGCTCATCCTGGCCACAGTGGTGCTGTTGGTGTTGTGTCTGGGGTGTCCGGCGGCCATCACGCTTCCAGCCATCACGCCTCCAGCGGCGGTCACCATCACGGGAGTGGTGGCTTGGCGGCAATGATAGGAGGAGCGGCGGCCGGCTTTGCCAGCATGTTCTCAAGCCGACGCCGGACTCGAGTGAGCGAGAAATACGAAACCAGTGATGAGAGCTACACGGACACCGACTTTACCGCTGAATCACAGAGCGATTCCATTACCTCCTCTGACAGCACGTCCAGTAGCTCCTCTTCAAGCAGCAGCAGCTCCAGCAGTTCGTCCGATAGGTGATGATAAATTTCCCGCTTAGTTTCCAGGGCGATTCTATTCTGCTGTATGATTTTGATGTTACCCTTTTTCTTCCTTGGACAGATGTTTATGAGACTGGCCCCTTTCTATATTCCTATTATCTGTTTTTTCATTGCACGGAAAAAGTGGGGGTGATTTCTTTTACCTTTTCTATTGTTTTTCTTTCAAACTTTTTCCATATTTCTCTAAGAACTGTACGACAGCATAGGATGGATTGCTCCCCCGCAAGGAGGGAAAGGGTGTAATGAGTGATGGTCATTGTGTTTTTTCGTTATTTTTCGGGGGGAGTTGATTGATTTCGGTTTCTTGCTGGAAAGCGGTATGCTTTATCTCAAAGAAAAAAAAAAAGTGACGGCGGCGGGGTGATGAGGGGTGGTTGGGGAATGTTGTGAGAGATATAACGTATTGGAATGTAGACGTGTGTTATGTATTTAGCTAGCTAGCGGATATGAAGGGAATGGAATAAACGGCTGGATTATGAAATTAAAATTGTTCTCTCGATTTGTGTCTGCAGAGTGTAGCATGGTGTAGTACTGCATTGTCGGACCGATGATGATTGTGGATCAAAGCAGCCGATAGGGTTGGACGGAGTAGCAATGTCGAAAGGATGAGGGATTGATATTAAGGCTTTCGGGCTTAGATGAAGGATTCGCTATGATGCCGGGGAGTGATGCTGGGGAGGATGGAAGGAATGGTTTAGGGGTTTGCTAGTTGCTTCTGTCTGTCTACTCTGTAGGTAGGGGGCCCCACTATATATACTCGTCCGCAAGCGGCTTACGACAATTCCGCACTAAGCACAGAGCTAGCCATTTCTTCCCATCATTCGTCATCGCTTTGGCAATCAATTAATGCCTCATCGCTATATCATGTCTACGTCTATGGGGGGAGGGAGTATTCCAAATATATTTACCCCCCCCCCACACACTGCCCTTCAGAGTTGGCTGGATAAACAAATAAATGAAAAAAATGAAAAAAATAACTTTTTGTGAGTATGGGCGACCTGCGTTGCTATCATTGACCCTAGCCAACCACCGTAGCTAGCAACTCCTCCTCCTCAATTTCCTGTTCCGCTAGAGTGTTCAAGTGTGATACATACTAATTACCTTGTCGCTGCCCCTCACTTGGTACGGTATCGGTTCTGTCTATCATAACTCTCCTGTTCCCGTTCGACATTGTTCGAGGCTTGCGCGGTCCGAGATGGGTAGAGGTTGTCGCTGGCATCGAGAGGTTTTGAATACCCCGATGAATAGCCCTTGAGCTGCGTCCCTTTCGAGGGCCGTGCCGCTGGCGAGCCGGTTGGCAGGGTATCTTGGAATGGCTCTTGATAAAATCGTACTATGTCATACTCAAGGGGGGCTGATAGAAAATCGTACACTTGTGGGGAAGCACAGGCATATTGTAAAGTATAATATAATAGGCATTCAGGGCTTCCAAATGCAGGTCCAATTTCATCACTTTTGGACGTCGAGCGGGTGGGACTCAAGGAGCAAGGTCGCCAATCACTATCATTTGCCTATGTACGATACGATATCATAACGAGTACGTAGTTCTCTCTAGGAAAACCCTCTCTGGTACTTCTCCTTCTCGCCATATCCCTTCGAAGCTATTCGTCCTTGGGAACAAAGTGGTCACCAGATCCTACAAAAACTGACCAACCCCCAGGGACAAATCGCAAATTTTGTTGGCTGCGTACGAATTCGCATTTTTTTTTTACTGCTAGGAAAATCTCATGTGGCCCAGCAAAAGGGAAATAACCCCAGTGGTTTAGAGGAGTGTCAGGCTCGTTCTTTATCCCTGATTATATGTAGACTATGTCTGGTTGGCACCAAACCTCAATAAATGAAAATGAGGGAAATTAATAATGGTGTCGAAACAGAGGTTTCGGAAGTACAGTTCAGCTACCAGTGGTCTTTGAATAGAATAAGGATTAATAAAAAAGATGGGTATTGAAATATCACACAGGCCCCGGTGTATTTTCCACTAGTAAATATTCTTGGTCGTATTTTTAAGTGACTTGTTTTTTGAATTGATTTTCCCGATGGTTGGAAACACTTTCATTGAGCTTGGGGATAGTGAATTATGACAACTCGGAATTATCGCAGTTATCGGCGGATAGTTCATATTTTGTGATTATGGAGGGTTGGGAAATACTGGACAGCCAAGAAGTGTCTTTAGTAATTTTGTATCATAGTCGTAATTGATCTTAATATGGAGTTAATGGTAAAGGTCTTATACGCCATAGATGTTTTTGAAATATTCCTTGAATGCCATGGCACCCTCAAATCTCAGGAATTTCTCGGTAATAAAAACATGAAAAATAGGAGAATTTGAAACATGGGACTTCCATAAGACTTACCCAGGGTCAATGATTTCCTATAAAGTATACAGCTGGGTAAAATCGCCTTTCCACCTTTTTTCTGAATTTAGAGGTATCAACAACATACCTGCTTTCTTCCACACTTCTCCCATCCAACACGCCTTCTCCACCTACTTCTTCTTTAGCTTCTTCTTCATCTCTGCCTTTTCCGTCTCGACCTTCTCTAGCATCTTCTCCATCTCCGTCTTTTCTGTCTCGACCTCCTCTAGCTTCTTCTCCACCTCCATCCATTCCGTTTCCATCTTCTTCATCTTCTCCTTCATCTCCATCTTTTCCGTCTCCATCTTCTCCATCTCCATCTCCAAGACACTATCGAGACTTATCGCCCGATCTGCCACCTCCTTCATCAGGTCCTCAGCCATCTTCCCCCCACGCCCCATCAGTGAACTACATTCCTCTTTCATATCTTTGATGTGCATCGCCGCGCATGACGAAGCTAGATTTTGTAGGTCGTGCGCTTGGTTGTCATCAATTAATCTCACGTTGTTGTGCTCGTAGGCATAAGAAAGTAGACGGCTCAGATTTGTTGGGAACCGAGGACGGACCGGTGCCTTGGCTGCCTTTTCGAGTGCTGTGCGAAGACGGTTGAGACATAGGGCTGCAAGCAAGCTTTGTCCCTGGGTTTGAGAGAGGATGTAAAGTTCTGCATGGGTAAAGAACACCTCGAAGTAATCCAAGCCGTGCGGATGTCTTGATGGCCCAGAGTCGTCTTTGTCGTCGGCATATTCGGTGTCGCTGCCATCGACGCCGTCGTATTTGCTGCCCTCATCTTCTTCGGTGTCATCCTCTTGGATGGCGATGCAGGAACAGCAGAGGTGATGGTCGCCCTGGGGTGCGGCACGCCTGTTTGCAAGCTGGCAGCAGGGAAGGTGGCCGGCTGCGGTCTGGAAGACCCCGATGGCGTTCCCGTCGGCATCGACAACACTGCTCGTGGGTGTGGCTAGAGGCAGTTTAGCTGGTTTCGGAGGGCTATAATCACCCTGATAGCAATACTCTAGGAACCGTTCCACCGTAGAAGTCGTGAAACATTCCCACGGAGTGTTCAAGTAAGGACTGGTTCCCTGGCCAAGTACACTCTTGTAGGCATAAAGTGTTATGCCATCCGCTGTCTTAAGCTCTTCCATCCCGCCCCTAAAGTGTCTGTTTTTTTTTTTGGCCTTGGTTAGCATCTGTCATCCCGATCGGCCCCGTAGAGGAGGCGACCAACCTAGTAATATTAGGCTTGCTCATCATGTAGTGGGGTCTTGGTTCGTGATAGATGTTTTCTCACGTTGATCCTGAGTGAAAGTGAATTTTTAGAGGTAAGCGAGGTTCCTGTTTATTAAATAGAGCTACGCTATCCCTGGTAGAGGTGGTGGTAGTGGAGGCCTTAGATCGAGCGCTCGGCTACTCGTACTGTAACTACGGTATGATAGTCCGCGAACCATTGACCTGCGTTCATCGACCATCTGACACTGGCTGCACCGCTAAATGCACCTCAATGGGCTAGGACAGTTCGCAACCGACCATTTTTTCTAAAATTTATGATAGGCCGAATATGGTTGGGGACCCCGAATCAGCCTTCTCTGCCCCGCTAGATAACCCTGCTCTGAACGACGAAGACTCCTGAGCAGCACCTATCCCAAATACAAAGCTATTATGTGATAGACAAGAAGCTGGGGGATATGACAATAGAAGCAAGTTTAATAAATATGAAGCTTTGAGCTATTGGTGCTTGAGAAAATGGAGTTAATAGGATAATTTGGTACACATGGTTTGCGGGGAATTTAGCGGTTGATGTCCCGGAACCGGTTAACTTTTTCTTAACTTCGTTAACTTGCAGTTAATTAACAATAACTTATAGATTTACCTATGTTAGTAGGCAATGATAATTCTTTTCAAAACCCCCGAAAAGCTCGGCACCCTTTGGACCGAGGATTGAAAAAAGTTCTCCCCGCTCGCTAGTCCGTAGGGTTCCCGGTTCAAATCACCGGGTTATCAAGGTTTCGCGTAGCCATAAGCCGGGTCGGCGGTGCTTCGACAATAATTACATTGAATCCCTTTCCCAAAGCCGCCCTTGCTTAGCTTGTGTAAGGGAGGTTGCCGCTGGGGGCACTTGCCACGGCAGGCAACCATGGTTCTTTTTTATTCATGATAGCTCACTCGATATTTCTGTTAATGAGTTCGAGAGAGAAAAACGGAGTGAAACTTGATTTTGATTGCATGGACTCTCAACGAACATGAACAAGAAACAAAACGAAAGGCAAAAATAACAACCTGAAAAAGGTAAGGAGAAATAAAATAGATGAATATAAAATAAATATGGAATAAAAAGGGGACATACCGGTACTGCAGTTGAATTTGGTATGGAGTTAATTTTGAGAGAGGGGTGATAAATAAGACAAGAAATGAAATCAATGAGTGGGGTAGGGAGTAAGTTGTGTATGATAGGAAGGAAACTAGCCCGGGACTGCGGATGAGCTCTAGGTTCAACAATTCTTCCAACTCTTGTCGCCATACTCGGGGCTCTCGCATTAGCTTAGCCCCCTCTTTCAGATAATCTCTCTACAGGTGTACTGTATCCAGCAAGAAATACCTGAACATTTGAGTCCGAATTTAGTGTAGGCGCTGGGATGTGCGAACACAATCTTTCATTCACATTTTTAATTTTAGGTACTTTTGAGGGGTACTTGTAAGATAGTACCAAGCATTGAGTTACCCCTTGTGCAGTACCACGTTCTACTACTGCACTCGAGTACTGAAGAAGCAGCTGGGGTGGCTCGGAAAGTCCAATATCGTAACTAGTTTGCATCACGCAAGTATCCGACTCGTTTGGCCTTCAGCTCAAGGAGAGAGCCACAAGTATTTTTTTTCTTTTTCGCTATTCCGAAACCTCCGTTATCTCCGCGCCTTTGGGAGGCTGGATCTATTGGAGGTGGGGGGAATAGCTTAGTAGGGAGAGGGGGGGGTGCCGAATATAAAACGCGTGATAATATATGATTGACACATAACCTTGCTTCTGACTCATGCATGTGGAATCATACTCGAGTAAAGTATCCCCCTTATGATACCGTAGTCTGTGGATTGGGTTTTGCTTGGAACCTTATCTAAAAGTGCATATATCCGAGTCTATTTAACTCTATCATGCTGATTGAAGAGGAATCTCTTTTTTTTCTCTGCCTTCAACTATAAAGGTCTAGCAGGGGCAGAAGTCGAAATGTTCTTGAGGGGATCTTTTTTATTATACCCCTTTTCAGGCAATTTATCTGTAAGCCTATCAGACGCTCTATCTTGTGAGGAAAAATAAATGTAAAAAAATAAATTTTTTTTAATATAAACAAGCCCTAGAATTTATGGACATTTATGATACTGCCTAGAAAGGGAACTGGTAGAACCCTAGAACTTGGAATGCGAAAGCCCATAGAAAAAAACCCTCCTCCCTGCAAGGGATAGAAATACTGGGGCACTGGGAATATCGAGAGGTGGAGCTAACAGAGGTTTTAAGATGCGTCTAACGGGGGTGTTCCAGATACCGTTGCCGCAAAATTACCCTTCAGTGTTGGCTGGGTAAATAAGTCAATAATATTGTGTTGGTGGCGACCTGCATTGATATCATTGACCCTGGCTAGTTAGCTAGCTCGCCTCACTAAGAGCAGCTCCTTCTCAACCTCCTGCCCCTCTAGAATGTGAAAGTGCGACTTATACTAACTACCCTGTCGCTTCTCCTCGCTTGGTATGATATATCTGTCCATCGTAACTCTCCTGTTCCTGTTCAGCCGCCTTGAGGTGGGGATTATCGATGTCAGGGTAGAAGTTATCGCTCGCATCAAGAGGTACCGTACATAATGAAACCCGCGACGGGTGTCCTTGGGCTGGGTTTATTTAAGGGGTGTGCCTTAGAATCACTCTTGTTAAAATTCGTACTCTATCATACTCATGGGGCACGGCTACAAAATCTTACCCTCGTGGGAAAGCACGAACACATGGCTGGAGTATCATATTATGACAAGTAATTGCCCGTGTGTGAACCACACGGGTGAGAACAAATTTCTACTCTTGTTTTAATATAATAAGCTAATATAAAATGGGTTTACTAATTCTTTACTATATCTAGTAGAAGCTCTCAATTTGAATTTATTAGATATCTGATAGGATAATTATACTAAATATACAAAGATCCCTGAAATATAAGAATATTAGCAAAAGATTCCTCCAGACCTTAAGTAGCTGTTTGATTATTTGAGACTTTCAAGACTTGATATAATTGATTCAATTAGCTTTATATTACAAAGGTTGGCTAAAGGTGAAGCTTAATCCATCCTATTTGCTCCTTCCAATTTTCCAACTCTTGTCTCTGTTTCATAGTAATCTCCTCCTCAATCCACCAGCATGCTATTTCCTGACAGCTAACGCCTGTATTCTCCCACCCACCAATCCAAACCTCATGAAGCTTTGTATTGTTTCTTCTGCCATTAAATCCCTTGACCAATTTCTTTACTAAAGCAATCCCTTTGCAAGCTGATAGCCGATCTGTTCCAGAAATATAGTTTGGATCGTATATGGCAAGAATAATATACTGGAAGTAGATGGTATAAGTGTGCCAAATAACCAGTTTTTCTGTTTGCTGTTCAATTGCGTTCTTAAGCGGGTTGGTAAATACAGCAAGAATTCTCGCATTGTTGATCATCAGTAAAAAGCCACCAAGAGTCAGTCCCAAAGTTCCAACTTCAGCTAAAGCAGCTTCTTGCGCTTACATCAACTCTTCTTCAATACTGGCCATTGCCTCATGTTGAGCAGTTTGAACCCATAGTCTTTTTGAATTGGCATTTGGAAACATAGTTATTTTGTGACAAATGGTGAGGGGTGGATTGAAGGTATCTGAAATTGTACTCATAGTAGTAAGAAAGGTCATCCATTGCTGGGTAGTAGTTGCTGAAGTAAATTTCATATTGTGTTTTTGAGAGGAGTTGAGATTGATATTTATGAAGAATAAATCTTGTATGTAACTAAGTTTGATTAAAGGAGAAGAAGAGAGTGAAGATGGTAGAAAGAAGGAGATTTGAAATGTAGATTCAGTAGCTGAATTTTTAAATTAATTTCTATGAATTTTATTTTCATTAAAAGATTTATTTTCATTGTAGTACATGACTACTATTTTCTCTTGTTTTCCCTAGCTATTGTCTCCAGATTGCTTTCTATTTTGTAATACTAAAAATATTTTTCTTATCCTAATTTCCATTTCTATTTTAGCATACCTTCTATTTCTTCATTTTACATAGTATTTCCACTCAGCTTACTCATGCAAGATAGTATCCTCTTATTTGTTAAATATTTAGTTTTACTTAATCCATCTCCATAATTATTACCTGAGTATTTCTTTTCTTTATCTATTTTCATTTCAACCTCCACTATGCTATAACTTTGATCTTACAATTAATTCTTTATGGTTTAGCCTCTATGAGTTTTGTAGTCTATACCCTAAATCCTGTTTACTTTGGTCTTTTCTTTTTTGATTACATAAGTACCTTGGCATTTTCTGTATTTCTTAGTCATGTCTGTTTTGGGCTCATCGGATGTTATAATATTATGTTGTAATAGGTATTCAGGGCACATCGATCAGATGGTCTCAAGGAATAAGGTCGCCAATCATTATCAATTGCTTATGTAAAGACTACTAAGTTCACTTTATGTAAACCCTCTGGAGTCTTTATCCTTCTTGCCTCATATCCCTTCCCGCCTTCTCCGTACTTTCTTTGTCGCCTTCTTCTTCTCCTTTTCCACCACCTCCTCGTCTACGACCTCCACGACTTCCCTCTTCTCCATCTTGTTGGATTCTTGGTCCCCGTCACATGAGTTTTTCTCTTTTTTATTTCTTCAAACACTTGGTAGTCTCCTTGCTTGTTTCATTATTGCGAAGTTAGGAGACCAGGATATCCTCAAGCTATTTGTTTCATTCATTCCTTTGAAACTCTCTACCCCTTACTGGTAAAAAACTCTCTTTCTTTAGCGGGAGAAAATATTTCACTCCCTTACTTGGGAATGAAAATTTTCACCCACATGGACTTGATATTGGAGGAAACAGATCCTATTAAGAAGGACCTGGTCATGTAGTTAGAAAAGAAGAGTGAACTGGACAATCAATCTTCTGCTATTGTAACCGGTATGGGTACTTGGTTATTGGTTTTGTTTTATGTTTTATTTTAAGTATCGCTTTGATACTTGGTTTGTTTTAAGTATCGTTTGATACTTGGTTTTGTTTTATGTTTTATTTTAAGTATCGCTTTGATACTTGGTTTTGTTTTATGTTTTGTTTTAAGTATCGCTTTGATACTTAAAGAGTTTTACCAAAGAGTATCAATTGATACCCTTGATTAGTTTCGTTCATGCTAGACATGAACAGATTTGTGTATTTAAAGACCGCCTGTTTCTACGATAGAAAAGGCAGACTTCGACAGACAGTATTTCAATATACTTGGTTGAACGGTTACTTCTTTGTTCCTCAGTACGCCCTCGAAGCCTCCTTTAGTTCTCAGCTCTCGCCTCCTCTCTGGAAGAGCAGGCCACCTGCCAACTATCGTATCTATTATCGATAATGTGATTAGCACCTTGCGAACACGTTACAGCTATCGCGAATATCCCAAGAACTTGAATCTCACTCTATCTATTACCTTATACAATTCCTCCACTCTTATCAGTCTCTTATTTTTACACATCTCCCTCTTCTCCGTCTCCACCTCCCTCTCCTCCCTCTTCATCTTCATCTTCTCCACTTCCCTCTCCTCCATCTCCCTCTCCATCTCCCTCTTCTCCTTCTCCATCTCCCTCTTCTCCCTCTCCATCTCCCTCTTCTCCCTCTCCCTCTCCTTCTTCTCCCTCTTCATCTTCTTCTCCTCCACTTCCCTCTCCTTCATCTCCCTCTTCATCTCCTCCTTCTCCCTCTCCATCGCCCTCTCCTCCCTCTCCCTCTCCTCCCTCTCCCTCTCCTCCATCTCTTTCTTCTCCGCCTTCTTCTTCAAGACACTATTGAGGTTTATCGCCCGATCGGCCACCTTCTTCATCAGGTCCTCTGCCATCTTCCCCCCATACCTCATCAATGAACCGCATTCCTCTTTCACCCTTTCGATGTGCATCGCTGCATATGACGAAGCTAGATTTTGTAGGTGGCGCACTTGGTGGTCAGCGATTAAGCTCACATTGCCGTGCTCGTAGACATAAAAAAGTAGATGAGACAAATCTGCTGCAAACCGAGAGGGGACTAGTCGATTGGCTGCTTTGTCGAGCGCTGCGTGGAAGCGATCGAGACACAAAGCTGCAAGCGAGCTTTGCCCCTGGGTTTGGGAAAGGATGTAGAGTTCTGCATGGGCAAAGAATACCTTGGAATAATCCAGGACGTTTGGATGTCCTGATAACCGAGAGTCGTCTGTCTCATCGTCGTCTTCGGTGTCGCTGCCCTCGGCGGCGTCGTCTTGGGTTGTGACGCAGGAGTAGTAGAAATGGTGGTCATCCTGTGGTACAACCCGCCCGTTTACCAACTGACAGCGGGGAAGGGGACTGGCTCCGGTGTGGAAGATCTCGTCGGCATGCTCGTCATCGTCGGCAACACTGCTCGTGGGTGTGGCTAATGGCAGTTTAGTTGGTTTCGGAGAGTTATAATCGCCCTGATAGCAATGCTCCAGGAACCGCTCCACCGAAGAAGTTGTGAAACTGTCCCACGGGGTGTCCGGGCAAGAACCGGTTCCCTGGTCAAGTATACTCTTGTAGGCATAAAGTGTTATGCCTTCCGCTGTCTTGAGCTCCTCCATCCCGCCCCTAAAGTGACTTTTTTTTTTGGCCTTGGTTAGCATCCGTCGTCCCGATCAGCCCGGTAGAGGAGGGGACCAACCTTGTAATATTAGGCTTGCTCATCATGTAGTGGGGTCTTGGTTCGTAATGGGTGTTTTCTCTCGTTGATTCTGAGTGTTTGAAAGTGAGCTTTTTCGGAGATAAGTGAGGTTGGTTCCTGTCTATTAAGTACATCTGCACTACCCTTGATGGATGGCAGTGGTGGTGGCGGCCTTGAGGGTCCTTTTACATAGACGGGGGTCTAGAAGCTAGTGACAGTGCCTAGCGTCAAGGAGGGCAAGACGGTTGGGTGTGTGTACGGAGGTACTCGAGTATGATACAGCTCATAAGTTTTATATGATAATATGTTATATTACTGGGTCACCCAACACCAACTGCTAGTGTAACATACAAAATTCGGGCGCTATACCTCCGTAGGGGAAATACACAGTTTTTTTTGTTGTTTACCTAGAATTTTATCACGCAAATTTTAGACTCAGACGGTGAGGTAAACGGGTCCCAGCTTCGAAAACCTCTTTTTGCGTCCGCGAATCATTGGCCCACGTTCACCGACCTCTGAACTGGACGGGGTCGCTAAATGCAACTCGATACCCGCTTTTAATGAACTAGCCTGGACTGGAATAGTTCACAATAAACGAAATTTTCCAAAATTGATGATAGGCCGAATACCTCTCTCTTCTTTTCAAAAACTCCCCAAAAGCTTGGACTCCCTGAGTAACGGAGCTCGCAAAATGTCCTAGTCCAGGCCAGTTGGTTAAAAGCGAGTTTTCGGAGTGGGGTATTTTGGATTTCCATCCCCGAAGCCTCCCCTTGCTTTGTGAGATCTCCCGATCCGCTGTTTCCCCATATGACTGGGGGGGGGGTGCCAGCGGGTGAGGGGTGACGGTGCGGGCCGCCTCGAGGTGGATCCTCTGGGAATTCCGGCACAACCAATCCGAGTTAAGCTAAAAATTACCCAAGACACGATGAGGAAGTGAAATAATACACCTCTCTGGGCAGCAAACACAATGGCGGATGCAGCAGAAATCATTTGAATTATTGACTCTGAATTATGTCTCGGAGTGGTTTGGTGAATATACTCGTATTTTTTTACACTGACGAATCTTGGAATTTATGGATATTTACAGCCTAGAAAGAGTAGTTGATACCATAGAACCCTAGAACTAAAGAGGGGAAAGCTCATAGAACAAACCCCACCTCCCCGCAAAGGGATAGAAACATTGGAGTCCTGGAGATATCGGAAGGAGGAACTAACGGAGGTTTCACTCTATGTCTATGGGAGGTAAGATACGATATGATATTCCAAATACCGTACCCCCACATTCCCTTTCAACCTGTATTGCTATCATTGACCCTGGCTAGCTAGCCTTACTAAGAGCAACCCCTTCTCAATTTCTTGCTCCTCTGGAGTGTGCGAGTATGGTGCATACTAACTACCTTGCCACCGCTCCTCGCTTGGTATGATATAGTTTCTGTCTATCATAACTCTTCCTGTTCACGTTCGACCGTGTTGGGGGGTTTTCACGGTCTGAGATGGGTGGGGGTTATCAATGGTGTGGGTGGTAGATGTTGTTGTCGGCATCAAGAGGTATATAGTGAAACCCCCTATGAATGTCCTTGAGTGGGTCCCTTTGGGGGGTCGTGCGACTGGCGGGACGGTCAAATCTTGAAGTCGCTCTTGATAAAATAGTACTATTCTTAAGGGGCACCACTACAAAATCATACCCTCGCAAGCGGGGCAAACATGTGGTCGGAGTATGATAGCCATTCAGGGCCTTCAATTCCAGGTCTGGTTTCATGATTTTTAAACATCGACCGGGCGGACTCAAAGAACAAGGTCGCCAACAACTGTCATTTACTCTATGTAAAAACTACCTAGTCCCCTCTACGCAAACCCTCTCTGGTCCTTCTCCTTCTTTCCTTATTCCCCTCTCCACTCTCTTCGTCATTTCTTCGCCTTCTCCGCCTCCTCCCTCTCCCTCTCCTCCCTCTTCTCCCTCTCCTCCCTCTCCCTCTGCTCCCTCTCCTCCCTCTCCCTCTGCTCCCTCTCCTCCCTCTTCTTCTGTTCCTTCTCCCTCTGTTCCTTCTCCCTCTGCTCCTTCTCCCTCTGTTCCTTCTCCCTCTGCTCCTTCTCCCTCTGTTCCTTCTCCCTCTGTTCCTTCTCCCTCTCCTCCCTCTCCCTCTTCTCCGCCTCCTTCTTCAAGACACTATTGAGATTTATCGCCCGATCGGCCACCTCCTTCATCAGGTCCTCAGCCATCTTCCCCCCATGCCTCATCAGTGAACTACATTCCTCTTTCATCTCTTCAATGTGCATCGCTGCGTATGACGAAGCTAGATTTTGTAGGTCGTGCGCTTGGTTGTCATCAATTAATCTCACGTTGCCGTGCTCGTAGACGTAAAAAAGTAGACGACCCAAATTTGTTGCAAACCGAGGACGGACCGGTGCCTTAGCTGCCTCGCCGAGTGCTGTGCGAAGGCGATCGAGACATAGAGCTGTGAGCAAGCTTCGTCCCTGGGTTTGGGAGAGGATGTAGAGCTCTGCATGGGCAAAGAATACCTCGGAATAATCCAAGCCGTTCGGATGTCCTAATGACCCAGAGTCGTCTTTGTCGTCATCGCCGTATTCGGTGTCGCTGCCCTCGGCGTCATCGTCTTTGTTGGCCTCATCTTCTTCGGTGTCGTCGTCTTGGATGGCGACACAGGAGCAGCAAAAGTGTTGGCCGTGCTGAGCTACGACCAGTCCGTTTGCCGACTGACAGTGAGGAAGACGGCCAGCTGCGGTGTGGAATACCCCGTCGGCGTGCCCGTCGCCGTCGACAACACTGCTTGTGGGCGTAGCCAATGGCAGTTTAACTGGTTTCGGAGGGCTATAATCACCCTGATAGCAATGCTCCAGGAACCGTTCCACCGTAGAAGTCGTGAAACTATCCCATGGGGTGTCCGGGCATGGTTCGGTTCCCAAGTCAAGTATACTCTTATGGGCATAAAGTGTGATGCCGTCCGCTGTCTTGAGCTCTTCCATCCCGCCCCTAAAGTGGCTAGTTTTGTTTGGCCTTGGTTAGCATCCGCCATCCCGATCAGCCCGGTAGAGGAGGTGGCCAACCTTGTAATATCAGGCTTCCTCATCGTGTAGTGGAGTCTTGGTTCGTGATAGATGTTTTCTCTCGTTGACTCTGAGTGTTTAAAAGTGAGTTTTTAGAGATAAGCGAGGTTGATTCCTGTCTATTAAATAGAGTTGCACTATCCTTGGGTGGGGGGTAGAGGCAGTGGAGGCCTTAAGTCAAGTATGATACTCCAGTACTCGGTTAATGTGACTAGTCTAGAACACGATTTTTTGCGTCGACCAATCATGGACCTGCGTCTATTGACCATCCGGGATGGGCCGCGTCGCTAAATGCACCTCAATACGAGTACTGTACTGTACTCGAGTACCCGCTTTGATGAACTGGCCTGTGCTAGGACAGTTGAAAATCGACCAAGTTTTCCGGAATTGATGATAGGTCGAATATCTCCCCCTTCTTCGCCAAAAGTGAGTTTTTCGACTATTTTTTTTCCCCCATTCCCCCGAAGCCACCCCATGCTTTGTGAAATCTCCAGATCCGTTGTTCCCGCATGACAGGGGTGCCAACGGGTTGGCGGTGACGGAGGAAAACGCCTAAAGCTGAACCCTCCGGTTAAATGGGGAATTCCGCAGCAACCGATCCGGGTTAAGCCAATAATAATTGCCCAAGACATGATGAGTAAAGTGAGAAGATGTGCCTCCGGGCAGAATGGTCGATGCAGCAGAAATTATTAGAATTATCGACTCTGAGAAGCAGTTGGTAAATTTTTTACCTTGTCTTCACGTCTTACTCATACACCCTCTACATTATATTTCAAGACGGTATCATATCATCCTTGGCATAGTTCTTGCGCATAAGTCATCTTCGGTGGTGTCCATACAACTTACGAGGCCTGGCAAAAATATTTGGACCTCGTGGGTCTCTCTTGCTTGTGGAATGTCCAATCCCCAATCAATGGTAGATAAAGGGGCATGAACCAAATCCCCAAAGTCCTGACTATCCACTGTCTCGTTTCGATAGAGTCACGGGGGATTTAGTTGGGGCCAAATTTGGCTGATTGCTGTGTGTTTTCCCAGGCACTTTACCCGAATCGAAAAAGGTATCATACTTGGTTTGAAAATTCAAATTTTCACAGCTTGGCCAACAACGCAAGACACATTTGATCCAGCTGGAGATTGGGTATTTTGGGACCCATATCACTACCTGGTATCATACCCGGAACTGATGTACCGGTATAATCAATTGAGGCCGTGAAGAGGGTAATTGACGATCACCTTTGTTAGAGCGTTGTATGATACGAGTAGATTGTGTCCCTAATTTCACTCTCACAAAAATTTTCCACTTTTTTCTCCGCGAGCCCTACTTGCACGCATCCACTTGATTGAAAGGATCAAAATCAAAAACAACTAGTTTGTACTCGGAAGTAGCTACTGTATATCTTTCTGGCTTCGTTAAAATTCCTTCCTGTTATTAACTATTTCGACACTCGGGTTGTGGTTATTTTTGGGCCCGGTTTGAACCCATTTGCACTATCTCATACGACCGGGTGCGGTTACCACGGCAGTCAACTCCAGTTCTACCTTTGTGATAGCTCACTTGAGATTCCTCCCAACTCTTGTGACCAGACTCGGGAGCAAGATGCATAAACTTAGGTTCCTTTTCAAATAATCTTCCCAGTACTTTTTCTTTCACCTTTTCGCTGCGGTGGAACTTCCGTAATCTCCGAAATATTTGGGGTACTGGATCTTTTGGAAGTGAAAGGGGGACGGAAAATACTCATGCCAAGGCTTTTGCTAGTCGCTACAACCCCCCAACGCTCACTGGGTAGCAACCTGAGGCACTGAGGAAGGGAAAATTCGGTCCGGGGAAGGAAACGAAAAATTTGAGATCCGTAGGTTCGAAAGAAAAGAAAATCAATTCACGAAATTCGTATCAATCGGTCCTTGCACTCTCAAGGAAAGTCTTATTACTCGGTGGACTTCACTCACACTCTAAGACTTGTTTGGTTCCATTTACGTTTCGTGGAGTTCGATGTTCGTTCGTTGCGGTTGCTATCTACTTTGTAAGACAGGTGGAGAAAATCTCCCTACATACAGAAAGAAAACTTTTCCCTTCCTCCTTTCTGTTGAAACAGACTATGGCTGGGCCTAGCATTTCGACAGCTTCACCAGAAAGCATCGGTGTTTGGAAAAATCTTTTCACTTGCTAGTGCTGGAAACGAGGGCCAGTGGTGATAAAGCATGTGGCGTTGGAACTGGAACAGTCCAGTGTTTAGATACTAGTTGTGATACGAGTTGTGATACTTGTCTTGTTTCCATCTTGTTAGAACAGGGAGGATCGTGGTGATTTTCATATCTTTCATTGTGTTATCGTCTTCTTTTCATTCCCATTGTTTTCTTTCCAGCTCTCTATAAAAAGACTCTGTACATTGCTATTCTTTTCCTCAGTGCTCTCTATCAGATCAATTCGTTCTCGTTGTCGTTAAGCAATATCTCTCTCTCTCTCTCCATTCTTTTGTCACTCTCTTTATTGTTCCTAAATAGAAGTGAATATACCGGCATTGACCTGCTTGCCCTATATACTTTACACTTTCAACATACCCTATCACTATTTCTCTAAGTAAATCAAAAACCCCAAATCAACCTAATAGCCGGTTACCCTCCTATTCGGTTCCCTCATAGTCGGGAAAACCAAGCGTTACGCAAAAGCAAGTGTTACGCTCTGGTTTTTTTTTTTTTTTTTTCAGGATTACATAATATGATATGTCAACTAAGAGACTGGCAGAATAGCATCAATTAACCCAACTATGAGTATTATTTTCTAAATTACATGTTTGAATTGAAGGTAATAAAATCAGCATTCCTTGTAATTGAGTTGCAAGATGTAGAAGATTTAGAATCTGATTCTCCAGATTCATCCTCAGTTGCAAGGGGTTGTTGATTTCCAGTAGTGGTAGTATTGAGAACAGCCGGCTCAAGTAGCAATAAGGCTTGCAGTAAATCAGGAGGTGGCTGAAGGGCTTCCAGGTCCTCAGGGGTGGGCTTCTTTTCTGGATCAGGAATCGGAACCAATATCTCTGGTGCAATATGACTGCCTTGAGCTTGTAGCTCAAAGATGTTTTTCTTCCTTTCCCGTTCAGCCTTACGAGCATCTATACCATGGTGGTGCAGAGCTGCTTTTGCCTTATTGACAGCTGCTTGAATGTTCTTTCGATCCTTCTTGATTGCTGCAGCCTTCTGCTTCTGATATTTTTCCTTTTTTCTAATCCTGGCTGCCTCAACTGTGATAATACCTCCTTTTTGGATAACTCGGCGGGATTTGGTTCTGCGACGCTGTTCCTCCTCATGGATGTGGGATTGAACTGTGCGGTAGGAGTCTTGTTCAAGCTGGGCCTCAGCTAAGCAGATTTGAGTTCCCTTTGCCCATTGTTGGAATTTGGTCTTAGATTTTGGACTAAATGTTTCAGCCTTGTCAATCTACTCCCCAATTCCCTTTTGGTACTCAAAATAGGTACTGGGAAGTATAGGAAGCTCAAAGGTATCCTCCTCATTAGTGGGAGCGGTGGATACATTTGTATTAATATTGCAATGAGGGCCTTGCCCATGGGTACTAGGAAGAGAAGATGGATGATCTTTAGGGTCCCTCTTGGTATTATAATGGCGCATCTTTTTCAAAGCAGCTTTGAAAGAGGGGGGGAACATGCCAGAATTCTTAAAAGAATTTCTTATTGTATGAGGTTGGAAGGTCTGCTGACAAATAGAGCTTACGTCTCAGAAAAAGGAGGAAATAGTGTACTCCATATCAAGAGAGTGTAATGTGTTGTGAATCGCTTTATTGTGGTAGTGTTTCCATGGGTGAAAGACACCAACATCAAGTGGTTGAAGGACATGAGTAAGGTGTGAGGGAAATACCAAAGGTAAAATGTGATTCTCATAGCATTTGAGAATAAAATCATCGTTGTGGTATGTAATATGACCATCAAGGAGAAGCATACACCAATGTGCATTCGGACTAGCGGCAACATGGTTAATGAAGTGATCAAGCCAAACAAGTGCAATATTCTTATTTGTATAGCCTGTTTGGGAGACAGCAATCACCTCAGCACCAGTAAGATTGTCTTGAATCCAATCTTCCATGATTTTCTCCCCAGGACAAATAACAACTGGTGGTAGTAGGGGAGTACCATCTGCACATATTGTTTCAATAATAGTAATGGACTTCCAATTCTCAAGGCTTGCTGTATATAACTCTTTAACATCGGTGGGAACAATAACTATCTCGCCTGTAGGACAGCCTACTCTGACACCGGACTCATCCATGTTGTAAATATACTTTGATTTCCAAATTCCATACTTGGACAGAGTATTCTGATACTTAACAAAAAAGGCCTTAAGATCTTCCTCGCTATAGGTAGCAACTCACAAATGTGCTATGGGCTTCATTTTAATAGTATGAAGATTGGGATTCTTCTTTAGCCATTGTTGAAACCAAACGAGAGAGGGAGGATTGCGGTTTTCTTACTGGCATAGGTAGCAGATTGCTGCATAAATAATTGAGGGAGTTGCACCTAACCCAGCCTCTAGCTGCTCTAAGCAGAATTGAAAAACAGCCAACTCTTGGACTTCAGTTAGAATAATGTTGTTTCCTCCATGCTGGTTGTAAAAACCATGAGAGTTTCGTTCTTAATGGCGCTTGCGATATTGGCACATTCAAATAGATGCAGGGGTGACTTTAATGATAATTGCTGCTGTACTAGCCTTTTCAGTAGGTTCCTCCTGTAGCCACTGCATTGCACAATCCAAACGTTGCTTCATTTCAAGCTTGTCAATCAAATCAGGACTCCTGGTTTTGTCTAGGCCATCAGGGTGAATTGGAGTATAAGGATCATTTGCTGGAATAGGGCTTAACACAGTTGAGAAGGACTGGCCCGATGGTGAGGAAGGACAGGGAGAGCTAGAAGGCCAGAATTGCTCTGCCTCAGGGGCATTCTGACTGGATAAAGCAGCGCAAATGGCTAGGGCTGAAGATAGATTTGGCTGGGCCATAAATTCAGAGGATAATTGGCTGGATGAGGAGGACCAATGACTTGGTCTGGCTGGTGAGAAATATTGACCTTGCATTGGATGAAGGTTGGCTGGGTATAATCACTGAAAAT